TGATTTTGTTTTGTCAGGCATGGATTCGTCTGGTTGAATTTCACGATGTTGACCATTTTAGTAGTAGTGGGTGTCGCGCGCGAAGCAGTCCCTGCTTCCAGAATTTGAAACACTTGATGGTACTTTTTGTGTGACAAGTCCGCTACTTTACTGGAATTGATTTGCTAATACCGATTTTTTATTGCTAGCGGTCATTGAAAACAAAGTTGCTCCCAGATTCTGAAAGTCCCCCATCCCATTTGTCAACCTTCCTCATTTGTCAAAAGCATCCTTACGGTAAAAATGTTAAAAGATTCGACACCATCATGCATCATGTGCATCAAATTATGATAAATATACCATTATGAATATTTATTTTTCTATACCGCTCTACAATTGATGTATTGAGCACTACTAGCACAGTGAAAATACTTTATTAATGCAAATATGTCATTATCCATATATAATAATTGTATATTAATATTTTTCATTTAAATATTTAGGTTGTTTATTTGGACCAGGACCGAATGAGAGTAAGTAAAATAAATCATTTTCATTTTTGAGAACTTATCGCGCCATTTTTGAAAACCGCTGCCAGAAAAGATAGCGATTTGAAGGGCTTCGGCTCCAGACCTACGATAGACTCGTTGTTTATGAGCGGGACAACAGGCTTACACATACACCATTTACTTTATTTCAGATTGCCACTACAGTACCATACCAACATACAGTGAATGTGACGATGAAACACAGACATACACCAAGTCTTATGTATTGAAAAACGGATCAGACGGATGTGATTTGGGATATGTGACAGTTCAGAGATGTATAAAAAGCCCGGAACCTGGTGGGTGTTTTTTAGTGCTCTTTTTCATCCGAGAGGAATAGAACACCCCATAATAAAGACTAATTCAGGGGGAAACATTATATTAAGACTTTCATTCATTGGCTCAACTAGATGAGTGTGGACTTAATTGGATGCTCTCTTGCCGTCTGCAGGTCAATTTATTGCCTGGTAAAGATCCGTCGGGCTGTCGGAGGATACTGTGCTGTCCTCTACAGTTAAGGTCTTGGTAATTTCTTTTATAATGGCTCTCAAAGGCAGTCATAGCTGACCTCATTTTCTTAAATAAGGACATAATATTGCTCTTGTTATTGCATAAGTTGTGAACCATTTTATATTAGGTCAGAATACCCTTTAGATTATTACTTTGGTTCTTTCTGGGATGGGGGCCCCTTAGAGATGAGAGCACCCGTGGACTTGGTTGAACCAGTAGTTGAGCAACTGACTTTATTTATTTTGTTTCAAACTTTATCAAACCATTCAAAATATGCCACCTTGAATGAAAAACTTGAGCAATACTATGGTCTTGCTCCCCGATGGGTTAGTAGGGTAGATGAGATAGTTGAGATTCAGCTTGTAAACATTGCCTTTTGAAGTCAGATATTTTACCTCGTTGTGCAAGGTCCTCTACGTCTGATTTCTGTTTGAGCTCCATGTAAATACGTAAACGATCCGACTGAGAGATGGTCCTTCTGTGATAGATCAACATACACCAAGACTAGAAAGATGATGCTGGAGTCGGGAAGAGATCATTGCCCTATTGTCAGCTACAAAACTAAACCCTGTCGAAAACATAGGACATATTACTATGATTATCATGGTGCATACCTAGTATAAGTGGCATTCCATTAACCATGATGTGCATAATATGGCACACGAAACATTACATTGCATTGATTACAATAGCTGAAAGTTTAAAATTAAAGAAAATATAATTTCATTGTTTGATTATTAATACCTCCACAAACCCCAAATTTTTGATGGCATTTATGTCATAGAAAATACCGTTCAAAGCCATGTCACAAAGTGCCCAAATACGGCTAATATGCCATATGGAAACGGCCTCACCCTACCCTCTTAGCATCCACGTCCTTGACACGTGAAGTTACAGACAATCCAATTTTCCAGTGACATGAAGTTTGTCTCCTCTTTCTCCAACTGTCGATAACAATGTTGGCACAGTATTTAGCACAAGGTGCCCAGTTTATTGTTCCATCCGAACGACTAGACGCTATTTCAATGCCAGTTCATCCAGGTCGGGAACGAAACATGGGTCGGTGTATGTTGGAAAATGCGTTAAATATACTATAATGCAGTGGTTAAAGGCTGGTCACTGGCGCAAGTGGGGGTACATATTTCAAAAAATGATTCTTTAAGCAATAATTCTCAAAAATAATTGTAAAAATGCATTAAGTCATTTCCATTATTCTGAAAGTTAGGAGGTGGGGGTATTCTCAACCCTGATAGTTACCTTAAGTCCCTTTCCCCCAACTCTTTAATGAGCCAGTCTGCCACCTATTCGTATCTCCACATTCAAAAGTCCGACGCCGCCGTTGTCACTATCCACGATATGTGTTATTGGCGCCTTAATATCGGTATTGGTGTGTAAGACGTGCAGATATCGTCTGCTTGATCATATAATTATTATATTTAATACGTACTTATTTAATACCCTTTAATAATAAATACAATAGTCACTGGATAAACGAGTCTTGTCGTCATGGACGCTACTTTAAGATTAAGCTTAAGGTGTTTTGGTATACAAGTATACTTCGAGAAATTAGGTCAGATATATATAAAGAAATATAGGTATGTAAAGTGTTTTATGTTTAAATCATCCTATTAACCAGTTTTAAATAATATAAAATATATTTTGAAATGAAATGGTAACAAGTATGCAATGTTTCTTTCGTTCGTTCATCACAGACATGTTGTTTATACTCTTTTATGAAAGGAAATGAGATTAATGTCCTGACTGACAACGCAATAAAGAGCTATGTCTAATTTTTTTTCAAATGCCAAGGGGTTGCTAACCAGCCCAGCCTGTAACACACGCGTCTCTGATTCAATCGCCATCCAGACAAGATTATTTCCATGTCAGCCCCTCTTGTGAAAAGGGGAAACCAGGTTGAAAAATCTGTCTATACTATCTTACAACTCGTCAGAATTTCCTCAAGCTTACCAAATAAAAAATCCCTATGTATTTCACGATCAGGGTCTGGCTCAGATATTAAGACTCTTACATTACTTTGTGATCAATTACCAGGACAAAATTGTCTAAAACCTTTCAGTTGGTGGGATGAGTTGAAAGCCGGCAATGATAAACTCTGGCCATAAGGAGGAATTTGGACCTTAAACACAGGGAAGTTGGTGTTCCCAGAGTAATCAACCTAAGTAACATTCGTTTCTAAATCAACCCTGTGTTCAGATGTCAACTTTTATATTCAATTTACATGATAAAATCATTCCCATAAAAGACAAAACACAACAACGTAACCTCTTGCTAACCGCAGTCAAGTTGTCTCAACAATACTTACGTTATCATTGCAGACAATGGTAGATTTTCAGTCCAGATATAGAATATACAGTTATGGATATGTGGCACCAACATCCAGACCTGGTGTACCTACTACCAGACAACTGAAGCACCAAGCTAACAGATTATTGGCGGCATCTTATGGAGATAGACCAGGTGAGTAATATAATCGGCATTTTAAAGGATACAGGAGTCAAACAATTCAATTCCCCAATTCAAAAGAGCCCCATTTCAGAAGCACTTTTTTCGAATGAAAATAAACTTTGAAAGAGCACCGTTTCATTGGCCATTTCAAGTACCATTTTAAATGGATATCCAACGAACGGTTCGTTAGTAATTTAAAAAAAGATAACGAAGTGGCAAAAGTTTTAATCAGAAGTCGGAGTTGTTTTTTGAAGTGATTCCAGTTGCTGAAACTGTCCTTACCAGCTAAAGAAGAAACTATTTTGATGAAGCTATCCCTTTTGATATTTTAAAGACTGGCGTATCATGAGGATTAAAGAATACTGTTTTTAAATCACATTTTCATAATTCTTAAAAGAAATTGACTTTCCGATACCATTTTGTTGCTTAAAACAAATTCCAACTCTTCTTAGTACAAGGAACTGTATGTATATTGTAACATCCAGCTAGCGTAGTGATTGGAATGCACGTGCTTTCTAATTACTTTGAATAACGCTGTCTGGAACCTTAGCCGAGCGCATCCGGTTTATAACATAATCAAACGCGGTTCATTTTGTGAAATATATTTTGAAACTCTACAAATCATACATATATTGTGTAGATAACAAATCAAAATACCTTAAAACAAATTGAATTTCTTGAAGAAGAATTTAGTTTCATCTGTCAGAGTTAATTAATTTGGAAGACTTGGAACCAAGAAAAGAATTCCATCCAGACACGATCGTGATACAGAGGTTGTCTACAACGTGCATTCCTCCGAAGGCATTGGGGTTTAGTGTTTGACAGGCATAGTAATGACATAATCTCCACGTGTTACCTTTTTTCAGTTCACGATTGTCGTCTGGAGTCAATGAAAGAATATATAGACCCAAAGGATTGGGAAACTCAAATACTTTTTCATGGCATTAAACAAACATACGACGAACTAAAACACTTGAATTCTAAACCAGCAGTACAAGCTCCATGTCCTAAACGAGAGTAAGTACCCTTTTTTAAACAAACTTATCGGTTATATCTGGATGTACAAATCTTCAAACGACTCCATATCTTTCTATAATGTCCGACATAAATTCAATTCCTGAAAAACTTGTAATCCTACAAATAAAGAGGACTTTTGGTTATAAATAAAAACTTTCCGTTGCTTTGAAGACTGTATTTTCCTAATGTCAATCTATTATGAACTTATACCTTGTCTTCATTAGCTATATTCTTGTATCACGGAATGGAGAGACTTGATTGGATTGTACGCTAGAGAATACAGCCAATCAAAAAAACTGTAATGGCTTACAGTTTACAGATTTTTTGTATTCGCAAGCGTACAATCAAATCAAATCAAATCGATGTATTAACATGCTTCCGTAATATAAGAAAAATGGCTACTGAAGTCAACGTATAAGACGCAGTTCCTAATAGCTTGACATTGTGAGGACATTGTGTCAAAATGACTCTGATATATGTTTCAGACCAGATAAATTACTGTTGACTGTTGGCATCAAAGGTTCTGGTGATGGTGATTTCTGCTATCCACGCGATTTGATAACAACAGACGAAGGTGATGTCATTATTGCAGACACCAACAACCATAGGATTCAGGTCATCAACCAATTCGGTGTCTTCAGATACAAGTTCGGCAAGAAGGGAAGCAGAGATGGGGAATTCAATGAGCCAACTGGTGTTTCACAACTTCCTAATAACTATTTGGTTGTAGCAGATTCTAAAAATAAACGCATCCAAATTTTTACACCAAAGGGAGTCTTTAAATCATCATTCGCAACAAAGCGTCGACCTTATAGTGTTGCAACAGACTCTTTCAAAAACATTATCATTTCAACGTTAAGTGAAACCATAGAAATTTATGATCGCGATTTTAAATTGGTTCACGAATTCCCATTAATTAGGAGAAAAGAGAAGTATTGCTTCGTGAAATTGTGTATCGATGGAGATGAACAAGTCTATGTATGTGACTCGGTTCAAGGCATGATTCAGTTATATTCCTACACTGGTAAACTAGTAAGGAAATTCGAACCCACATCACCTGATGATTCTCTGGTCGTTTCTCCAAGTGATGTATGTTTCGATCATATTGGACAATTAGTCGTTTCAGACACTCTAAACCATACCATTAATGTTTATACCATGGACGGTGAATTCATCCGACAAGTCATGCGACCAGCGGATGAAATTGGCGCCGTTTTTGCAATCAGTATTGGTCCGGAGGGTCATCTTGTTGCGTCCGAGTTTTCGTTAGCCGGAGAGCACTGTATAAAGATGTTTCGATATAGCCCTTGTGAATGTCATGCCAACAGACCACCTTCTAGCAAACGAAGAACTCCAATTACCTAAGTACGCCTTTACTCATTAATTAAGGTCAAAATTTCAAAGACAATTAAGGGTGTTGAGGAAGGGAGCACAGAGCTGATGGTTGGTAAAAAATGAAACGGGATTAAGAAAAATTTTACACAGAATTCTTGTCACCTTCATTCCTTATAATATATACTCATCTATAATTAATGTTTATTAAATATTATAATTAAACTCTACATGCAATAAATGACCCTGGATTTGTTGATACATTGAAGTATTTCCGTTACAGGAGTAACTATGCCCTGAGGCATTCGTAAGGCTGTGTTTCGGTTGATCGTGAACCGCTTGGGCACTCCGTTTTAGAGCTGAAACTCGTTGCTCTAGAATTGTTTCCCATTAGAATTTTAAACTAGCGTCTGAGTACAAGCTATCAAGCTAGTACAAACTTCGTGACATATCTTGCATGCAATAGCCAACTTTCACGGAATTCAGGTATCCTCATGGGGCATAGTTCCGAAGGGAGGTGCGGGTCGTTCCTCTTTCTCTGTGTGAGAAGCCAGTTAATATGGAACAAGCGGAACATTGTGTGACCCCATTGGTCCCTTGGTGAGTTTTAAACTTGACAATAATTGACCAACCAAGAATAAAACTGCCATTTACAAGATCTTTCAGTTAAACGACTTGATATTTCCTATCATATTTCTTACTCAACACTATCACGTTAGTTTATTTAATATAATGTTATTAACTAATTTTTGACAATTACAAGTACTGGATTACCCTTTTAGACCTTCTCTCTTGATCTATTATTGACAGTTTGATTAAATGTTATATTAAATAAGATAGTGTCAGACCACTTTATATTCAAAGTGGATTTCCACTTGTCCATTCTGATAATGATCACAATTAGTTGATCGACACATATTTATCAGAGTGACAAAAATCTTCAGGTGACGTTTGTGCAATATTCGAGCAACCTCTTGTTTGAAATCCACCATGTGCAGTGAGGGCATAAACAATACACGTATGGTGAGCATGAGAGATGAACGTTTGGCAGGAGATACGAAATCTAAATTGATGCTTGCGTTTAGTGGATGGTATTGGGACATTGGAGCAATTGTCAATCTTGAACTACTTTGCACAATTAACGAAGATGTCAATGATCAGGCAAATTTGACTACAAGAAAAACACCAATCGGACGTAGGGGCTACCATGTCTACAGCAAGCTGCCTTACTATCTCTATTTACCACAGGGAATCCAACTTGAATCAATATAATTTAGAGAAACGTGTATTAAGATTAACCAATCCATTATCAAATATGTGATATGGACTAAGTATTAATTGTACTCTGTGTCTAGCTTCAGTGGCCGTTACGTGCTTCTCTTCTTGGGATAACATCTTCGGTACTGTGCGCCTTTTTTGCAGCAATAGGATTCAATACACACAATAAAAGGATGTAATCTAGCCGAAACTTATTGATTTTCTATGGAAAAGTTTTTTTCTTGTTGTGAGATAACTGACATTTGGGCGGAATACAGAGAAAAAGTCTGCATCAAACTGAATCTGTGAAATTTGGATGTTCAAAGATAGCCGTTCACTCATATTTGTCACACTTTGTTAATTGCGATTTGTGAATTTGTGAACGACGTACACCCTCCTGGTATACCACAAGAACATTGACGGCTGCTCAATAATTATATTGATGCTAATACCAGAAGCACACAAATTGTTCCTAAGGTTGAATTTCAACTAGTGATCCAAAATGAGTAAAAGCAGTATTGAAGAATATCTGAAAGAGAGTGTGAAGAGTTATCAAGCTTGCCATGTCAAGAACTCTGCTAGGAGAAGTTCACTCCAAAAGAAAACCGAAGGCATTGAAATGGCAAGGAAAAAGATGACCACACATATGGAAAGAGAAGAAAAATTATTAAGAAGACAATTATCTAATATGCAGTTGGATCAAATCCGACGCGAGATGACAAGTCCTTTACTGGAAGGTTGGTTGTACATATAGTTTTCCATTCTGGGCACACATAAGTCGATCATTTTCTCACCCAGAGGTTAAGAGATTGAAGACACGCTTATACATTCGCCTGTGTTGTTAAAGTCAAAGAAACAACACTTCTGTAAATTTTTTATGTTCGATTTTTAGTAAGAAGATCTGAAAGTCTTACAAGACAGAGAACAAGAAAAATATCCAGTATTACATCCAGAGAACTTCAAGGTAAATCGTGAACGCTTCCATGATTATTATTGTCAACTCTAGCCTTCGCGAATCCCATTTTGGTGATGGTCAAAGTAATTTCAGGATATTGCATGATCTGGCTAGCCGATATCATAGAGTACCAGACTGCTTTGTACGTCCTACAATAAACTGATAACATGAGAACTGAGGACTCGAGGGTATTCAAACAGTTGGCTTTCGAAACCACAGCACATCAATTTGTCACCTTCATTTCTATGTCCCTGGATCTCAAAGATGAGTCAGCCTCATCCCCACCCCTATCAAACGCCACTGATATCTTTTGGTTTTTCAGTCACAAAATGCATTACAGAAGGTTAAATTGATATTTGATATGCTTCAGGACAAGAATATGCTGCAAGAAGAGGAAGAAGAGTTTCCAAAGAATTTGAAGATTTAACTATGATACCTAGTACGGGAAAGCTTCTCTTAAAGGCTAAATCAAAAGGTACCAGAGCATTTTCACCGCTGATGCAAAAACTTAGTGTCAGTAACTCTTTGACTAGTCTACCTTCTACTGAAGATTTGGACTTGGTTGAAAACAAATCCGTAAGACGTCCCCGAAAGTCGGTTCAACAGCAGCAATATGAAAAAGCTTTGAAATCCACGAGGATTTAGCTTCTCTGGCGCCTGGTGAATCAATCGCTGCAACAAGTGTCATGTGTGGTGTTCAGAGCATGATAATTAAAACTGGTTTTCGAGATGAACCCCATTGTGTCCACCATTCGTCATACTTCTACAAATAAAAAACAATACAAGCGATTCGATATTTATGGTAACTTTCAAAGTATTGTAAACAAATTAACCGCATTTCACGAGTCGTGCTTAATCTTAGAAATTGATTTTTATCAAATTCATTATCAATGACCGTTTATTTCACTATTGAATTGATTATACTTATCAGAAAACACAAAACGTGTCGGTGGACATTTATCTTGTGATAAAGTTAGTCTACATTATTGGTCTGAATTCAATCGACGGGGAAAATGTTCCTCAGTGTTTTAGCCGCTGTGCTTTCTCTGTGTTCGACTCCCGTGTTTTGTGATGTCCCAACCATACCCGGAAGATATATATTAAACCTCGATCTACCACCAGAACAAAGATGGAATGATATTGTTCCCAAATATAAAGAGGCAGTTAAAGACATGCATGATCTTTTGGAAGATTTTTTCGAAGATGGTTTGGCTTTGATAGATTTTGTGGCATCTGAGTTGGATCAGTACATACCAGCTCCGTATGCAGATGAAATGCGAGGGATATCACTAGCTCTGAACATGAGCCTTGGTGAAGTGGTCATGTCTAATTTGCTATATGAATTACAAATGACATGTACAAGTATTGTTCTTGAGGATCAGAAAGGTGGAATATGGCATTCCAGAAATTTTGATTATGCTTACCTTGGGTCGAAACTACGAGATATTACCATATTGGTTGATTTTCAACGAGGAGGCCAAACTGCTTATACAGCAGCTACTTTTGTTGGTTATGTTGGAATCCTCTCTGGACAAAAACCAAACAAGTTTTCGATTACTGTCAATGGTAAGAACGACGAGGAGTTTCTCTTGACACTACTGGTAGCTCTTTTGGACAACAAAGCTAAACCTATAGGATTCCTTACAAGAGATACCTTCGAGAAAGCTGAATCCTTTCAAGAAACTGTTGAGATGTTGACGGACACAGATACATTAGCTGATGCATATTTTGCTGTAGCTGGAATTAAAGATCAAGAAGCTGTGGTTGTTACCAAGAGCAGACTTCAATTAGCAGATTACTGGTATATCAACACCACCCAAGGACATTGGTATGATGTACAGACGAACTATGACCATGGGTTACCAGAGCCTTTTGGTGATATGAATAAAACAAGATTGGCAACAGAAGCTTTGGACAAGATAGGACGTGGTCATATTGATTTCGATGCACTTGGTAGTGTTATGTCTGTTGAAAATGTTCTCAGCCACATGACAGTTTATACTGTTTTAATGAATCCAAGTCAACCGGATCTCATTAAACTTTTGGTGCGTCACCAAAAGAAGGAAGATGAACTAGTTATGGACAAACAATAAATTCTTAATTGAATCTTTTTTTTATAAAACATTTTAAATGTAAAGTGCTAAAACATAAGTTTAGATATAATGAGAAGAGGATAATCTGGTTTAATCTTGTCGGGGTCTTTCAAAAATCATTTGCCATAGAATGATAGAATCAAAATGAATTTGATCAGTTACCCTCTGGATCTCTAAAGCCTTTTTGTCCTTTTGACAAGCTGGGGGAAGACCTAAGGTACTATGTTTCCAAGCCTGAGCTCCTGTAGAAATGTAGAGTATAGCTTGGCACTTTATGTATCCTTATATTTCTTATTGAATTTAGATGGTGAAAATATAATGCATAATGAATAAACTTATGTTTATTATCAAAATATTAGAAAAATATAACAATTATGCATATAACGATTAACATAAAACAAAACATAATTGTCCAAATTTACCCAAAATTTTTACAAAATTATCAGAAACAACTTTTTTGTGCAAATCAAATTTAGAAAATGCACATTGAACTTTAAACAAAACAAGATAAAAATTAAGAAAATACTGAACAAATTGCCAGATTAAACACAATGTAAAGTTGCATGCAAAATTTGACACTCAGATACATTCATCCAGAGTACATCATTCATCCATCAATCACAAAATAATAGCACATAACATGAATTAATTTTTCCTATCCATGATATCCTATTTAAATGTTTGCTATATTAGCCCATAGAGGTCATCTCAACAATCCCTTTTCAAAATGAAAATCTGAGGTTCAGTTTTTCTGCAATTGAATAAAATGACCTACAAAAACAATGACAGTTCATAACTTCATCAAGATAAATTCAATTAGGGGTGGGATATTTCAGATTCATTTCAGATTTTCGTTCCGAAATTTCAGATGATTGATTGAGATTGATCTCTATAAGTAAATAAAACAAATATTATATACATAGCCAGGGCAAGGAGATATATTTTCTCTCTTATAAAACATTTTTCATTGGTGGATTTTGGTTTTAGATATGTTTTACTTATAGGAATTGAAAAGGAAATATTGTCTCCATGTGTGTATTTGGTTCATTTATAGCTTCTATTTTTAGTCAAATTCATGACTAGATTATGGCGTCACTATAGCAAATGACAACCAAGTCAAGTGATGTTCAAGCGATAGTGACATCATATTAGTATACTAGAAGTTATTAGTGTAAATGGAAGCTGTAATTGTATGCTCATAACAATACTTTACAATACCTTTACTGATAACTTAGCATTTATCTTTTAATTAATCTAATCTTTTTATCAATTAAAAATTACATGGTTAATTGACAACCAAATTTTAATAAGCAATTACACCATAACATTTCAGTACTGGTAATCTCATTTTCCTGATTTTGAGACTTTTAAACAAAAAAGGTTTATCGCAATTATTTCAATATTCAGATTAATGGAGTAATACTAAAATTTCAACCTACTAAATGATATGGTACAGGTACATAACAAGTGCAATAACTTGAATATATATATCATATCTAGTTAAATACATGTAAATAATTTTGATTTACTTATATTACAGCGACCTTATAATAATAATAATAATATTCAATTCTGGATACTCATTTGACCCAATTATTTTTCATATTTTTTTCACTTGCTTGGAGCATTTATGCTTTTTCAATTTAGATGTATTTTTCATTACAATCCCTGATTAGCCCTCTTTGGAATCGCAAAAGGGCTCATTTAAGGGTTAAGGGTTTGTTTCTAAAAATGTACAGACCAATAAGAGAGATATACATTTGAAAACCTCTTATAATACAAAAAATTGTGTTGAAATGTGGAAATTTAAGAGTCTGTTTTTTGCAGAAGCTTGATTTGGAAATATATTTCAAAACGCCTAAGATTTCAAAGCTAAAACGTACCCCCACCTTTTTGATAAATAATTTGGATTTCAGAAACGTTATAATTCTAATATATTTTTTACTTTAATCCAATTTTTTCCTTAGTCAAATCAGTAAAGCGTCTATCATAAATTGGCCAAAAGTTCTTAAATAGGGAAGACGACTGCACTCCAAAAACATCCATGAGATGTCTATTCATTTCAGCAAATCTGAAAAGAAAAGGATACGGGAAAGTGCATTGTGTATGCATTAATACTATTTTAGGTTAGTAATAATCAACACAATGTCAAGATTGAGGTTCGGTTATATCAGTAAATGTTTTATCATATTTAGGCCAAAAGTTAGGATAGAGGAAAGCAGCTTGAGATGAAAATACTTTAAGCAGACGTCTATTAACAAGCTCTAATCTGAAATAAAATATAATTGAATTTAGTTAACTTGTGGTTCGACAGAGTGTCGATTCTCAACAAAATTGTGTCATCATTTCAGGGTTCAACTTAGATTGAGAAATTTAATTATCAATTTATCACACCAAATTTTAGTTTTGGTTCGCGTTTCATAGAAATTCAAAATAGCAAGTCAAAATGTTCCAGTGCAGACTTCAGATCAATGCTGTTAATTCCTTCAGATTATAGAGAGTAGCTGTCTGTATATGTCTTGATTTGGCAGAAAATTTCACGAAAAGTACACAATTTGATTTGATTTGCAGATTGTTGTGATCAATTTTTATTCGGCTAATCATAGAAGATCATGGAACGCAAAATAGGTCTTTTTTGACTCACTAACTGTGATGCCATACTGCTTAAATTGAACCCTGATTCTTTGATGAGGAGCATACAAAATATGTTAATAAATTATGTTGAAGGTGTTAACATTAACATAGAAAAGATGTACTTAGTATTTGATGCATGTTAATCATTCGTGCATGTAAGTTTGACAGATAGCAAACAGCTGAAACAATGCTGTTTTAATATATGTATGCTGATATGTAAAGATCAAAGCACCAGACAGCATCAATGTATAAAAATAGAAGACTAGACAGTGTGCACTGGTTAAAGGCAGAAGCATCAAAACTTTTATAATTAGTAATGTTAATACATTTAAGTAAAGTTAACTTTTCTTTAGTAATCTATAAAAAAAGAAAACAATTGTTAATTTTCAAAACACAAAAATCTCCAAAGAGAGTAATAAATAACTTTGTAATAAAAAGATAAAAGCATTGCTAGAACATAATCTGATTTAAATGCAAATCTATATATTTTGTTTCATTTTTTTTCATTGGGCTAATGCACCCTACCATCTATGATCTGAGAATTTCTTCTTTAGATTATGTTTATTTATAAGAAATAAGAGATATTAATAGTTCAAGTCAATGATAAATTATGAATTTCCCATAATTCCTTTTAATCCTTTAGCGACATTTAGGGGTAGAGATCACATTAAATAACGGAACACAATTTTATGGTATACTACTCCTTAGTTTTATTACACACGACGTTTAAACAATCTACATTGTCATCTTATATATATATATGTATATATAACTTCTTGTACCATATTTCCTCACTTCACCTGAAGATGACAATGTAGATTGTTGAAATGTCGTGTGTAATAAAACTAAGGAGTAGTATACCATAAAATTGTGTTCTGTTATTTAATAATTCCTTTTATTTGGTGCAAGAAAGCTCTTAATGATTAGTTGAAGATTCTAGTTACTAAGGAATTGTTGTACAAAATCTTTTCTTCCCATCACCATGGCACCAAGGCACCATGGCAAACACAAAACAAAACCTGTAGATTTGCATGTACATCAGATTGGTATATTCATAATCAGTGCCTATTGATGATATCACAAGAGATATATATCTTTTATATATCTATATATTTTTTCTATATACAAGCTGGTTATAAAGGATTAATACTAGAAGAGCATATCATAAATTCATTTAATTAAGCCAACAATTTTTAACATTAAGGTGGAAATAGCTTTGTTTTGAGATTTCAAAATATTTATATTAAAACAAAGTCTGTAAAAAGACACAGTTAAAAGATATACATAATGTAAAATACAGGGCTTATTGCAAATACGAGAGTTCATCTATCATGAAATTTCTAGCTCAGAATAAGTATACTCACCATATTAGATTAAAGGCTTATTGCTTAGTATTAAATAGGTTAGGTTAACATTTGACTATATAAACTAGGTTACATGTTAGGTTAGAAATATTTTAGGTTAAGAACATGTTAGGTTAACAGAACTATAAAGGTATAACTAACGTGAAAGGGTATAATATAGATAAACTTACTTATTATCTGTTACTTTATTGAGAAATTTCCAATAGGCAGGACGGAGGTTGTGAGGTTCTAAGGCAGCCTAAATAAATAATCAAAATAAATAAATAAATAAATGAATTGTAAAAATGCTAATCTTTGGCAACCATATAGGACTGTGTCAAAGCATTAAACAAAAAAGCATATGGTTTGTCACATCAACCCTATAAAGAATCATTTATGTAGTCCAAATATTAACGCAGACGTCAAATCATTGATGCAGAAGTCAAATCATTGATGCAGAAGTCAAAACATTGACGCAGAAGTCAAAACATTGATGCACAAGTGTAAACATTGATGCACAAGTCCAAACATTGATATAGAAGTCCAAACATTGATATAGAAGTCTAAACATTGATGTAGAAGTCTAAACATTGATGCAGAAGTCTAAACATTGATGCAGAAGTCAAAACATTGATGCAGAAGTGTAAAAATTGATGCACAAATCCAAACATTGATGCAGAAGTCCAAACATTGGATGCACAAGTCCAAACATTGATGCAGAAGTCAAAACATTGATGCAGAAGTGTAAACATTGATGCACAAGTCCAAACATAGATGCAAAATTCAAACCATTGATGCAGAAGTCAAAACATTGATGCAAAAGTCAAAATTTGATGCAGAAGTCAAAACATTGATGCAGAAGTGTAAACATTGATGCACAAGTCCAAACATAGATGCAAAATTCAAACCATTGATGCAGAAGTCAAAACATTGATGCAAAAGTCAAAACATTGATGCAGAAGTCAAAACATTGATGCAGAAGTGTAAACATTGATGCACAAGTCCAAACATAGATGCAAAATTCAAACCATTGATGCAGAAGTCAAAACATTGATGCAGAAGTCAAAACATTGATGCAAAAGTCAAAACATTGATGCAGAGGTACAAACATTGATGTAGAAGTCAAAACATTTATGCAAAAGTCCCACCATTTATCCAAATATTTTGCAGAAGTATAAATTGAGAACAAAAACTTACAGCATGAAAGGCAACAGCAGTTGTAATAGAATATATTATAATATCAGCCCATTTAATATAGGGTAAAACTCCCTTATCTATTCCTTTAAAATATAGAGTCTGAAATAGAACAAAAACAATAAAAATATGATTTTAAATTAAGGTTATCTCCCTTTAACCATATTCATGCAAAACCATCATATTATGTCCAAATTATTCTGTAATTTATGGGGTGTTGCATCATGCAAAAGAGAAAAATGAGTTGCAAAATGTGAAGATCTACTGTTTATGAATTTTCTCTGATTAATCTTTTAAGACTGGAATTTCCAGTCAGTGTTTTGTCAAGACAGCCACATTGGTCCATTCTTTTCAACCTGTTGAGGGCTTTTCTGCATTTAAAAGCCAGTAAAGCAAACAGCCTTGTTTTATTATCACATTCAAACATCTAGCCATTTTTTCCAAATCACCCTTCGACCATTTACATCATTTACAGCAGAAACAGAGTTGGCCCATCTCGGGGCATCATCTCGACCAATGCCAGGACCAAACCTCAGAACTCTAGGTTAAGTCTTTATTCCCCTTCTAAAAAATGTTTTAAATTAAACCTACCTCTACTAATCTAGATGCTGTATATAAAGCTAGAGTAGAACTTCTGTACCATAACATCATCCAACCAGCTACAAATCCTGATATTAAACCATTCTTATTATCATCTTTATTTCTTAATCTTCTCAATAAACAGTTTAATCCCTAAATATATCAATTTACAATCTGACATTAGATTAAATATATATGAACAAATTTAGGAATTTATGAAAGGTAAACGTTGTACTGGTTTTTAATATCAACACAAGCCAATTTTTACAAATCTAACAACAAAAGTAAATGTGTACCAAACTTGAACTGGTCTGAATATAAGACCTCTTGTTGCATTGTTCATTTCCTCAACATGATAATTCTGATCAATTTAGCAATTTAGAAGAGAATAAACAAAAATTCAACTTTTCGAGATCCTATGTGGAAGATTCCAAGTATACAGATACCCAACTGAATTTAGGCAAATGAAACTGGACTTAACTTTACATAATATTGTAAACAAAAAATATAAAGGAATTCAGTTTCAATAGAGAGTTTTTTAATATGTGTACTTACTCTAAAAACACCATTGAAACAACCAAGAAAGGCACCTAAACTAAAACAGTCTTTATGTAGTAAACTAGAGAACAATAGCTTGGGTTGTTTTATTATTTTAGTCATTGATGAAAATAGTTTAACTACAGCTTGTAACAAAAACCCTGTACCAAACATACGCACAAAACCCTGAAATTAGACAAACATATGAAAATGAAATGAAGTATTATCTATAATATTCACATTTATAACATTGTTTGGTTAATGAAAGTAGGCAGAAGTGAGAAAATTTGTCAGGACAGCAGCAATTTCCAAGAAAGCTAAATGTATCCTTTTGGATTTTTATCTAAAAATATTGGTATGTAACAAATTTGCCTGAATAATTTGAGATTTCTAGTAAAACCTAATGTATCTTTTTATTAGGGATACTTGCCAAAGAGCAGATATAGTCCCAAAAAATGGGTGTAACAACGATATATTGTGTGTTTGAGATCCCTTGATAGATTTGATTAGTAGAGGAGTTTAGCACTATCCTTGTAATATTTCCCTCATTGCACACTTGATGGCATTACTAATACATTACAGAAAAATGTGCCATAGACCTCTTGCTTTTCAGTAAAAACTGGTCTGAATTTTTTCACTTCAAGGAAACCAAGATAGCAAATTAATGAGAGTTATTTCCCTTGTATCACTTCTGCTGAAAAGTTGCCTTAAAGTAAAGTAAATGTACATTAACACACAGTAGACAAGAAAATAGAGGTAGACTAAAGTCATTAGGTTCGTAGATTGAGATAGAGTGTGTTAAAATCATTACACTTGGTAGGTACTTGTCAAAAATGATTAATGGCTTGCACAATCTCCCTATACATATAGACAAAGATTCCATTTTAACACTCAAAACTCATTACAAATACATCATTGGTAGAATTATAGCAAAGCCATCTGTAAAGTTAGGCATGTTTTTTACTAGCATTTTTCACCAGGCACATTACCTCATATATTCATTATAGTATGATAGCAGTGGCATTTTTACGAGGATTTGATAGCAATATAAAATAAATATAAAATAAATATAAAACTTATATTATTATACTGATTATAATATAATTAAATATTTTATATTGTGTATATACTAGTATTTTACATGTGTATACATGTAATAATTGTGTTTGTTATGAAATAAAATGGAATTTGTGAATTATTTTTCTATGCCTGATTTTGCTTATAGAGATAAATAATGGATACAGAAGTGATACGGAAATCCAAAACCGGTTTTGTCAAACAGTAAAAAAATATGTAAAGGGGCATTCTGTTTTACTTTGTAAGTCAATAAATTTTGTTGGCTAAAATTTTGGAAAACTATACACCAAATCTAGAGAAATCTGATCCTTAACAATAACATATATCTGAAAGTTTTAACACAAAATATCCAGCCGTTAAATTTTAATCCCAAAATTATTTAAAATGTTTACAAAAACTTTATATGTTCGTTATGTTTTTTGGTAGTTGTTCGTAAATCATTGAAGGAATGCCTAAAATAAATCTATAATTTATGAGGTCCAACACCAAAATTAGTTTAAGCTGCTTAATTAACAATTAGCACACTTTGTTATTAATTAACACTTTTAAAACAACTATCAGGTTGATCAAGTATATACAAACATATAAAAAGCACATTTTAGAATTATTTTCAGGTATAATTTACGTTTTTGATAATGAAAATTCTGCATACTGCCCATTAAAGTTCATTTCACCAATCAAATAAAATTTCAAATTTTAATTCTCCATTTTTCTCAAAACATTCATAAATAAATATTTTTAGACATACATAATTCACTTAATTACAAACATATTTTTCAAAACTGCCAGTTAAAAAATTTGTAACTTTTTTTTTTATATATTTAAGTTTTCAAAACTTGTGTAACTACTATAATATATGTCCGATTTTTAAACAGGGTGGAATAAAATAAATGAATCAAATATGAACTAGAAAAATTAAATTGAAATTTGACATTTGTAAAGTGATCTGGGGTGTGAAATATAATGTGAACCCTCTGCATGCAACAGTGATTTAACCCTTTGTCAACTGTATATAATAGAGATTTATTAATTTTCCATCAAAATGCCAAGGTAAGAAGACGACATATATGATTTATGACTATATAATTGTATCTTATTACAATTTAAAAATATTGGCAAACTATTGAAAGGCGAGGTGACAATAGGAATGTGTTTATTTTGTGACACTTGGGTGTTTTTACCCAGATATCTATATAATGATGCTGTACACCTAGTATTATTTCATATAATCAAATATGTCAGAGGGTAATATGAAGATGATTTATGATTTTTTAAATAAATTTCCTGTCCAAGGTATCATCCATATTTAAATTACATTTTGTCATCTGAATAGATCTTAAATTGCATAGGCATTATCATTTTGAAAATTCATCTCATGTTACAAGCTAGATTAAGTTTCTCGTGCACGTCTATTCTTTTCATTTCTCTATCACTTGGGTATAGTGCATAAGGCATAATAGACATATTCTTCCTAATGACACTTCAAAGATTTTCAAATCTGTTTTGATCAATGATGGCCATGTGGCTCATTTTATATCTACCTCATTGGTTGTTAGATTGTGGACATTGACATATTCATGTGCAATTTTAGAAGGTTTTTTTTAGTTTTTAAACATATTAAATGAAATAGATTTGTACATCTTTAAATTTTTACATCTGATTGAGAGATGTTTTGCCATGACAGTGATATTAGCCAGTTCTTTTTCAATATCCAAACAGACCCCAAGAATGTTCACATCCAGCATTTCACAAAGGCTCATTTTATTTTAACATCTGAACCCCTAGATACTATTTCAAATGATAAGAAAATCTGGATAAAAAATCTGACCTGCATAACATAGATGCAGAGAAAAATAAGCAAAATTTGGGATCTTTAAGCAGTATCACCAAATGACCCCTTTTGAGATCCAATATATCCTATGATTAGCCAAAGTTCATTTCGACAATCTGCGAAACAAATCAAATTGTATATTATTCATGAGAATTTTCTGCCAAATCTAGAAACATACGGCATCTCTTAACAGCATCTATAATCTCAAGAAACTAACGGCATTGGCAAGATCGAAACTGAAACATTTTCATGAAATTTTTATGAAATGCAAATCAAAATTTATCTTGATCAGCCAAAACTGAAATTTGGTGTGCTTATCAAATTTTACAATCTAAATTGAATCATGAACACAACATATTGACAGCAATGAAAATAAATAAGACTGCCTTTCAATTAAAAAAAAATATTACCTGAAGTATATAATACATACATCCAAATGGATGCTGACATAAGGAATGTTTTGAACTGTGTTGTAATTTCTTGCTGAAATCCTCTAGAAATTTAAAAGATGGCAGTAATGGCAGTTGTTTTCTGGCTGGTGATTTGGGTGTATTGTGATTATCTACAGCTCTTTCAGCATATATTGCATCTGGTGATTCATATTTACCCACTATAAACCTGGAAATATATCACTATATAAACATATTGGGGTCATAACATCAAGGGTCCCGACAAACCTAATGACCAAAATTCATTCAAAAAGCTACTTAAAGGGACAGATTGGCCATTTTTTTTACTAATCGTACTTTAGTCTCAGAAACAGGAATTTTTTTATCATCGAAATTTGATAATGAGTTTTATATGGTTAATTTTGTTGCAATGTTTTTCTTCCATTTGTGTCCAGAATTATACCTGTTTGAATGTTAAAATGATGACTTGTCATTTTAAGATACTCTGTGATATATAGAAAAGACATATACATATATAGTGAGTAAAATTCCTAGTTTGAAGTATTTTTATAGGAATTATGCGATTTTCGCACATTTCTAGTACTTCTGAAGACTATTTACATATATTCAAGACTCAAATCAACCCACTGAAATGGCGCAACTGTCCCTTTAAAGTCAAATTCTGGCGAAGTTCTCTGTGTGAATGACATACTTTATTCCCAAGTTAGCCATAAGTTTTTTTCTCTCAAAAACATGACGTTGCAATATTCATTAGATATAACTTCAAATGAATATGGCAAATAATGAAATGTGTATTCAGTAATCCGCATTTTGAAATGACAGTTGAACAAAAAATGGATTTTTCTTCTTCAAAAACTATTATCAAAGCCTTTTTCCATTAAAACAGCCTAACAAAAAATCTATTAAAAAGGACATTCTTGTACAAAAAAATTTGGATAAGGCAATCTGAACCTTAAGAAAAAGAAAGTTTCATAGTGGACATCTTGTTCGTTGATGGACTGCATGTACATGTATTTATAAGCTTGCCAAAATGGATCTCAATTACTATATATTTTGATTTCTGAGACATTTCAATCAAAATAAACAAAATTTGGATAATATCATTTTTTTTTTTTAACAAATATTGGTCCAATAGTCTAATGATAAAATTCTGTTCAACAAAGCATTCCAAAATGAAAATCCTTGCAGATCATTATTTGCCCTTCTGGAAACATCCTTTGTTTGTTTTTGATTGATGGCATTTGTATCAAATGAGGCACCAAATTCTGCATAGCAACACATTTAATCATGAAAACCAAAATAATTCTGCTGAAAAAGTGACAGTCTAATTCCAAGAAAGAATGGTAGCCCAGATGGTCAATAGCGTATTAATTAAATACTGCAATCCATAATGGTACCGTTAATACCATTCCAGGACTATTGGATTAACAGTAGAATGGTCTTTAGTACTAGAAACCATTCATCATAATCTTAACAGTCATTGTCTGTTGACTTTCTTCAGGAAACAGTCCACAGCTTGATTCAATGGTAACATTGTTACAGGTTTGAGTCAAATTGGCTGTAGCCCATAACAATCATGATAAAAGTCGTTTTGATTAGTATGGTAATTTGGACTAAAGACTATTTCTAATAACATTGGTATTATTGGTCATATCTCACACTCTCTTTGTTTAAGTTTGAATTGTTTCTTTAGAGCTACTAAAATCTGTAGAGATCAAGAATTTTTATTTCAAGAATTTTGCAAGATTTTAAATTAGTAACTAAACACAATTTTATTCCAAAATTTAATTGTAAATTAGAAATAATTATTTCAGTGCCACTTTGTTTAAATGTTACATTTGCAGTTTTTACATTTTTTCCACTAAAATATTCATTCTTCATAAACAGATATTCAATAAATTTCAGCCTCTAATAAGCAAAATAAAAATTGTATACATACTGCAATCCTGAAGAAGTTGAATTTGGTAAACCATTCTTACTTCTGAAATAAACAAAAAAAATTGTTAAAGCAAGTAGGTTTATTCAAATTTAATTGAATTTAGTTTACTTAATGATCTATGTTGAACTCAAAACTTCTAATAAAATTGATAGTGAGTTGTATTAAAATTACTCAGTAATCAGTTGATTAAAGAATACAACTTAGTTATCTAAATCTACTACATGATAATAAAATTGATAGTGAGTTGCATTAAAAACTACTCAGGGTTATCAGATGATTAAAGAATACAACTCAGTAATCTAAATCTATTAGATGATATGAAAATTGATTGTGAGTTGTATTGAAAACTACTCAGTAATCAGTTGATAACAAATACAACTCAGTAATCTAAATCTACTAGATGATATGAAAATTGAGAGTGAGTTGTGTTGAAAACTACTCAGTAATCAGTTGATTAAAGAATATAACTCAGTAATCTAAATCTACTGGATGATAAGAAATTTTACAGTGAGTTGTATTTGAAACTACTCAGGGTAATCAGTTGATTAAAGAATACAACTCAGCAATCAAAATCTACTAAATTATAAGAAAATTTACAGTGAGTTGTATTGATAAGTACTCAGGGTCATTAGTTGATAAAACAATACAACTCAGCAATCAAAATCTACTTGATAATAAGAAAATTAATAGGCATTGGCAAATAGATGGACATAAGCCGAACTGTGTATTGCAGGCTGTATGTGTTAAAGATCACCTGATAACTTTAAATCGAAAAATAATAGTCAGATTAAACTGCTGTAGAGCCCAAAAAAATTCTGTTATTGCGTGTTGCATTGCATTGAGCATCTTAAGTAGCACAGTCTGCAGTAGGAAAGTATGACAAAAAATACTTCACTAAATTCAAACCAAATTCTAGACGGGATTGTCTGCACATGGCAGCATATTAAAATGATGTTAAAAACAAGTACTTTATGACTGGGGGTTAAAAAGTAAATTGCTGTTCAACATGTAAAAACTGGTTAATGAATTAAACATGAGGAGGACCAATCAGTCGTTAATTTAGTTCCGTTATTACCCCAGAGGCAGAAATACGCAACATCAAATTACTTGACAATAGATGCCTAAAGTAAACATGATATTCCCAAAATAATTTCAAACATGCAACTCAACACTCTGACAATATGAAAATCTCATTCTCAAATTTGGCACAAAAATTACAATTCATTTTACAAACCCATAATGAATGTGCACCTAAAATGCTGGAGCCAAGGGACTGAAAAACAGACGGTGTCTATAAATTACCAACAACAAGCTTTCAACATATGAATCTGTAATACTCATGATTTATGACCAGTTTCTTCCATCATATTTTCAATTAGTAACCTACATCTTTTCTCACTTACTCATCACTTATTTCTTCCTCCCCGAAATCGCTGGAAGGTTTGAGGTGTAAGCTTGAAAAACTAGTCCATTTTCTGAACAATGTAATTGAAAAAGAGTAAGCTTATAGTGGTGATTTTGGTTTTTATTTGGAAGAGTGGTTATTATTAAGTTTGAATGAAAGGAAATTTTGCAATAGCAGGGAAATAGCCCCGTCTTTTACATTCTAAAATGTCTAGAGAACTTAAGGGGGGTTGAGATTCCAGATGTGTAAGAACCAAAAGGCACAAGCCTCCTATGGGGTGGTCTCAGGGGTTCTCAATTAATTTGAATCATTTGTACCATTTCCTTTTTCCATTTCCCCAATAATATGTTTGACCACATTGGTATTAAAATGAAAATTTAGCGCAATATGAAACAATGTACACATACATGCAAAGCTACACCAATTAGATTTTTATCTGAATGTTGATAAAGTGTATTTTTCCAATGTGACTTGCATAGCTGAGTTGGCCCAGTGTTAGGCTTTAAGCTCTAGCTATAACCATGATTCAGCTGAATTCTATTGCAGTTGGGAAAAATAACATACAATCAGCTAAAATGTTAGGAGTAAGCTCAGTAATTAGTGTAATTAGAAATTCGACATGTTAAAAGTTGAAGGTGAACTAAGCAGGAGTTATTTATGTAATTATCTTCAATCTAGCCACATTACAGACGGATAATTTTGTTTATTTTTTCCTCTTTTCAATCAACATAGCTGGGTCGGCAAGATAAAATCTTTCAACACTTGTCACTATAAGAATAATTACTTTTCCTAAATCGGCCTGAAAATACCATCTACACCATTCTTTCATATTTTCTTCAAAGAAACTTGTAGAACATTGCCTGTCAAAACTGAAGAAAAATGTCTGCTGTTTGGCTGCTTAGATTGTATTGGAGTAAATGAGATAAACAAGCAAGGTGTTCCATTCTCCTCCCCCTTCTACTGACAATCAGGCTGTTCCAGTGCCCTCCTACATTATGACAGTTGATATTGAAATGATGAAGTGCTATGTCTGGATTGATGCCATTATAAATATAATTTTACCACTAAATAACAAAAACATCCTTACAATACAGAATTACATGGTTTGCAATTGGTATTTTTAGTAACTTGTTTAGAACTTTTTTTCACTTCTGCCACAAAAACCAAAGCCAAATTCTGCTGCAGAAGAATGCAGCATTTGGAATAACAACAAATTACATGTAATGTCAATACTAAGGAATGACATGTATTCCTCATTCACTTACACATGCAGATCTTAGAGCTTAAAAAATATCTTATTTTGACTCAAGACATAACCAATATCTTCCTTTTTTTTGTCCTTGCCACCATCATAATGAACTTGTTAAAAGAAAATTTAGGAGCCCAATTCAGACTAGGCACATTAAAAATAAATTTATTATTTGCTGCAGAAGAACAAGCATCTCCAAGTTTCAACATGTTATATTAAATCCAAAATTTGGTAAAAGACTAATTGTCAACTCTTTTGAAAAGGAGGTAAAAAAAAAAAAACAAATTTGAACTATAATAATCATATACAAGTAATAGTACTTTCAAATTAATTCCTATAATATGAATTTATAGAAATTCCAACTGCTAATCTCTGTATAGACAATTTCATCTACAAATATTAGAAGTTGAAATATATCTTGAACAGTGTGATTTGGAGAACGAAAATAAACAATTTCCACATTTCAAGAAAATGATGAATTTAGTCAAAGATAAAATATTTATATAGGATATCTATCATCAGAAACCATCATTTTTCTATTTTCTTATCCTAGTTTGTGCTGGGAGATGATTGACATGTGTCATATTTGATGATGTAGTATGTAGAGGATAGCGATTACCAAGGTAAGTAATTATTCAACATAGAACACCTGTAGAAAGATTTATGATAATACTTGACATAACACATGTCAGACCATTCTAGATTCTTTAATATAAACAAATCTACGTTTCCTTCCTTAAAATCTATTTACAGATTCCCAAAACACATTCGGATGCAGATCGAAATCAATATATTGGTTTAGCACAGTTCATTAGAGCCTAGATAATACTTGACATAACACAATATGTCAGACCATTCTAGATTCTTTAATATAAACAAATCTATGTTCTTTGAAATCTATTTACAGATTCCCGTATTTTTTTCAGAATCTTTGGATCAATCTCATAATGGTGGTGGATAGTGTTGAAATCAGGATGTCATTAATGAAAAAAAAAAAACGCACTTAAAGGGACAGGTAGGCCATTATTTTGACCAATCATACTTTTATCTCAAAAACTGGAATTGTTTAGCTGAGCTAATCAGTAATAGTGTTCACAGCTCACTGTCGAAATTTGAGCCTTCAAATCCAAGTGTTTCTAGAATTATCTGCGTTTGAAAGTTAAATTTAAGACATTCTGTGATATATAGAAAAGACATATGTAGAAATAGTGAGTAAAATTCCTAGTTTGAAGTATTTTTAGAGGAATTATGTGATTTTCTTGTATATTTTTAGTACTTCTGAAGACTATTTACATATATTCAAGATTAAAATCAACCCCCAAAAATGGCACACCTGTCCCTTTAAAAGACAACATTATTGCCCTTTTCTTACAAATTTTTATACATCTATTCAGAAAATTTAAAATCTTGGATTTCTTTCTGCGTCCTTCAACTAAAATGATTTAACAATCCTCAAGAAATGGGTAAAAACAAAAAATACAGAAGATTTAAGAGAACCTGGATTAAATCAAACATCAGATTTTCTGTCAAAATCACAGCCCTCCTGTTTACCAACCAATTATTTTCACCAATTGAATTTTAATTATGTTTATACATCACTTCTTTTATGTGCTTTCAGATCTTCAACATGAACTCTTTTTTCTTGGAGTCTTAAAAAGTAATGTTGCTAGGAAACAGGTATTGAAAGATGACAAGTAATTAAGATGAAGAATGCAAGTAGTGTAAAATATGTAAGACTTCTATTATAATCTATAATTGATGCATATTTTTGACAATTTCTATTTTTTCAGATTAACAACTGTTTTATTTCAATCCTTGTTATTCAAAGACATTTTGTGTGAAACATGTAAAGGGGATGAGTATAAAAAATAATTGAATTATGAAATAGTGTTTTATAAGCATACAATAATAGGTTTTAGACAGGATTAGGCTAAATCTGAGTAATATTAAAAGATTAAAACATGCTGTTACTCAGAGTTTATGTAATATTAAAATAAATAAATACAAAAATAAATTACTATGATATACAACATACAAAAATTGTTCCAAATTTTAAACATTTTAAGGTTACTATTGGATCTGTGAATTTTAAAATCATTAATAACATTGCAGTGTGCAATGAAAAAAATAATTTCAGCAGCATAATTCTAAAATTTTTCTGATTTCCAACTGTCAAGGAATCTTAAATGTATACTATGATTTGAAATTTTAAAATTTGATTAAAACTTTTACAAAAGAATTCCTCTATAATCCCATAAATCTATAAAACTAAGTAATAATTCATTAAACTAAGTAATTTTGAAACATGCTTATAGAGGCTTTTTTCAATAATTTTGTTTGTTTAATGGATATATCATCTTCATAGGGACTATATACTTCAGTCACCTGGTAAGTCCAACTGATGAATATACATGTACCCGGTATACACTTGTTGACCAAGTTTGAGACATTAAATTTTATGCCCATTCTAAGAGGTAGTATTCCTTTTAATATGCATGATACATAATCTTGCATAATATGAACAACAGCGCCATTTTTCAATGAAAGTCCCTCATTAAAAATCACATGAAAAGCAAGAAACCATCAAAAACACTCCTTGCGACCCCCTTCTAGAAATTAATGACCCTCATAATAATAATTTCTGTATGTAATGTTTAGGTTTATAATGTAATAGATAAGAGAACTGATTTAATTCCATTGTTTTCTAATCGGAATAAACTTACAGGAAGGTTAACCATCCAATATATCTTGTGGCAGAAACAATTTATTTGGCAGACGGACCAGAAGTCAGTTAAGTTTTATTCACCTTTATTTGGTTGTAAAGATAATTTGGCGGTAAAAGAGATAATGTATCTGGTATTTCCGTGCCATTTCACCTCTAAATTGGAATTAGGTTAGGAATTAAATTTGACAACAATTTTCCATCTAAAATTTTTTTCTATAATAAATGAAGAATGATTTGAAAATTTATGTAAACTTTCAGATTTTGAAAAGAACTACAATAATAATTTCAGTAATTGCATGAGAATTGTATTGGTGTAAATAGAAGCTATATATCTCCAATGAAACACGGATATAAAGAATAACACTGCTATTTTTGGTTTGATGTGTCAAACATCTTATGGAATCCTCAGGCAGCCGCGGTGGCTCAGTGAGTTAGACGCTTGCTCGCTAACCTGAAGGTCCAGGGTTCAATCCCGGCATAGGTCGAGATAATACCTTCGGATTTTCAACCCGGTTTTCCCCAGTCAGTGATGCAGGTGCGAGGGGCTGACATGGAAAAAGCGTCTAGTCGTTCGGATGGGGCAATAAACCAAGGCCCCGTGTGCTACAGGCTGTGCACGTTAAAGATCCCTCGACAGTTGGAAATTGAAAAGGGGCTAATGCCGCTGTCCTGGCAAAAATTTCCCTCATGGCACCCTGCATGGCGTTGCCCGTCTTCATTAGCCCACAAGGTGCAGAAGAGGAGGACGTAAAACTCCACCGACTTCTCTGAGAGTTCAATTTTATTTTTAAAGCACATTGCCTTGTTTTCAGCTAGGCCATCAATTTCCTGGAAGTAAGAACAGGAAATATGTCTAATGCCAACAAAATGTTAACAAAGCGTCAGCTCTTATTCCTTTCCACAATGCTTGAGGGTAATTTTAAAGTTCTACAGTTTAATTTCAAATTATGTAATCTGGCGCCACAGATTGAAATGTTTTTTTTTTCAAATTTCACTTCTGCTTGATTAGTGACCCTATCAGATTTTTTTGGCACATTTGACAATTGAAGATGAATTTTGTCAAAAACTAATCCATTTCATCAAATTGTCTGATAACCATCAAGACCTTGTCAGTTTCAAATGTTCACAGTGATCATGAAATTCCTGTTTTTTAGTCTATGCAATTAAAAGCGTGTCAGACATTCATTTCCTATCAAGCAGTACTAAGCCCTGATAATGTCATCTTTAATCAGGCATATTATCAAACAATTTGAGCTTAAAATACATGAAAATCAAGGAAAATCGATGAAAAAAGTGCATGGTAGACAGAAATTAGTTGCCCTGGTGACAACATAGCATTGAGAAATATTGTCAATATGTATGTGGTATTATGTACTATACTAGCTGATAGCAATAAATTTCAGCTACAAGAATTCACAGCCCTTTCAGAATCTTCAAAATATTGTAAATCCAAACAGTTATTGTCACTGCAACATAGAAATACTTTCACTACAATATACCTTTACCTTTTGAAGGTTTATGATCATAATTATGTCATTATGAAAACCATGGTATTTTTAGAATGGAAATAAAGATCAATGCCTTTTCTGACAGATGTTCTTTGTCTCTCATTATTTTTGACTTTTATTACACTTCATATTAATATTTCAAACATTCAATGGAAAAAATCCGGTATCATGGGTTGATGAAAGAAACATTTTTAAATTTACAAGCATAAAAGAGTTCTTATACACAGTGATACTTGACCAATCTTCTTGTAATGATCCCTCCCAAAATATCTTTACCAATGCTGGGTCAACTTTTAATACTGTGGACTGCTTTCTGAATACAATCAAGTCATTTTGATCAGGTTTGGAATATTTTTTCCATGCATAGGCAAGGTCAAGGTCTTTAATTCTTAATATACCTCTGGTTAACCTTCAAAACTTTAAAGCAACTTTCCTGGAAGGAATTTCCCCAAATACTTCTCCAATATATAGGCGCTACAACCACACTGATATTACAGAGTTCTTTCTTATTACCTTCTTTTGTCCTTCAACACTGTCTACATCTATCCTGGAAGGAATAAACCCATAGACGCTCTTTTTCTCTGAACGTTCAAGACTATAAAGCAACTTGCTTGGAAGACATCACCCAAAAAAACAAATGTACCTCAAGTCAAAGGACAGAAATTCTACCATAAATCTGACATTAAAAGCAATCAGGCAAATAATTTTACCATGAATACAAATGAGGAAATTTCTGTACATATCTGATTTAGACGTATCTCTATCTACATCAACCATATTTCAAATAAAATGCCAATAAAATTCCATGAAAATTACATATAAAATACATTAATATCACTTGTAAAGCTATTCTGATACTATCTATGTAATGAAGGAAAAATTTAAATCTCAGTAAATCTTAACTAAAATGAAATTGAGATTTAGGTCAATAACTCTGTAATCAATTTTGCAATTCAATTGCCAGATCCAGTAGAATTTAAAGGAGAGGTTGGGATATTTAAAAGTTGCCTGTGAATTAAAGAGCTGTTAAAAGTAAATCTGAAAATTAAATATCTGTTTAAAGTAATTCATTTCATATTGATTCAGCCATTTCCTCCATTGCTTTAAAAATAATTAAATATGGTCAGTTGTCTTAGTGCTAAATGCTGTTTAAATTTTTATGCTGCTGACGTGATGTTTTGGACATAAAATCTTAATCAGGACAGCTGGTATGATAGTTTTCCAATATAAGGTATATGAACAAAGTGAGGCAAATAAGAGAACATGAGCGACAAGTCAAGGATGAAAATATTAGCTAGCATGTTAAGGATATTTCATCCTCATCAGGACAGTTGTTTACTAAATGTTAGAAAATTGTGGTTATGAATTTTCAATTTTCAAAAATTAAGTTTATATTTTTCTTTAATGGCATTTTGAAAGCATCCTCGAACTTGTAAGAATTTTATCATAGCATATTGGATTTTCTAAAAACCATATTATCATATATTTTCATACATTATACCTTTGAAAAGACCAAATACATGAGATATACAATGGTTTTATTATACCCTGTTACAGGTGTATTGTGTTATTATCTGGCTTTGAAAACTAATACACAATATATCATAGATGAAGATTATCTGATAGGGTCATGATATCTCATGATAATATTATTACTTGTACAAAGACTCCTTTATAAATATTTTCAACTATATAATTGTATATTAGAGTTGTTTGGCGCAATGAAAAGTGTTGACCAAATTGCAGTTTTATGAATTTGAATTTACTGTTTAATTATTTGAATTGCCTGTAAATAATTTGAATTGACTTTAAATAATTTGAATTGACTTTAAATAATTTAAAGTTACTGTAAATAATTTAAATTTAGAGTAATGATAAATAATTTGAATTTAGGGTAAATAATTTTTAGAATTTAATGTTAATTTTCTGTAAATATTTGAATTTACTGTAATTAATTTAAATTTTCTGTAAATATTTGAATTTAATGTAAATAGTTTGAATTTAATGTAAATATTTTGAATAATAAATAATAATATACAATAAATTATTTGTAAATAATTTGAATTCAGAGTAGGGATAAATAATTTGAATATAGGGTAAATAATTTGAATTTACTATAAATAATTTGAATTTACTATAAATAATTTGAATTTATTATACATAATTTGAATATATTATAAATAATTTGAATATATTATAAATATTTTGAATTTACTTTAAATAACTTGAGTTTACAGAATTTACCAGACATCATAACAAAAATTTACTTAAATAAATCAATTATCCAAATGAATAACAGTAAACAAATTAAAATCATAAAATTTACAGCTTATTTATTAGTCAAATAGATGTATGTAAATGATAACACAAATGAAATTCACTGTACAATGTAAATAATTGACAATTAATATTTTAATTTTCCCTAAAATTTACAGTAAATAAAATATAGGAAAATTTCCTTTTAAAAATAACTATGTATTTGTAGAAATGAGGAAAATTAGATAAAATAAAAATATTTTATGAAAATGTCTGACTAAACATTGACATAATCATGTTTAAAAAGGACGGCATTTCATTGAGCAGGAAAAGTACATAAACACAATCAAATTAACAGAGGACAATTCGAGAAGAAATCATGATATTTTTATCATTATAATAATTAGTCAGACCAAATTCTACTTTTTGTTGCCTTTAATCACACTTCTAATTAACGAAGGAAAATATTTCTAAAACCAAAACTCCACATCAAACAAACACGTAATCTTAGACAAATAACGCAATGAAATCAATATTCTAAATGAAGAGTCTAATCGTTAATACGTTTAACCTTCCCGAAACCCCTCATCAGGCAAACACGTCTCATTACAGACCTTCGGCACTCACGTCTTTTTTCCCTCTGAAATTCTATCTTCTGGCGGGAATATCAGATTGAAAATTGCGTGTACATTGAAGATCTTTAAGAAAATGGTCCCTCCATTTGTCATGAAATGTCCAGACGGTTAGAAAATGGCGGTAATCTTTGGCTCGCTATCTGAACCAGGTTACATACTTCTCAATTAGTCTTCGTCTCTTTGCGTCTGCTCATTAGACATTGATGAAATGATTCAATAATCAAATTCAATTTGACTTTCAGCCTTAGAAATAATCGTCCGCTTTTGGCAAGCTTGGATGGTTAAAGGTTCTTTCCTGTCACGTTTTTTGCTTAGAAATTGTAATCAGAGGGATTTCAATATTCAAATTGGTAGGAAAATTAAATCTTTGTGGATAAAAGAAGAGTTGGAATGAGGGCAGTTGCTGAGGAAAGAGTAATCAAGTCGAGTCAGTGTTGGTGAAATTTTCTTTGACTAAATGGAAAGAAAAGAGGTCTGATACTTAATGATGTTAGTGACAGAAGTTGATTGTGAATGGTTTAAGGAATCAGAATAAAAGACTCGCAGCTTTGATTTTCTTCTTATTTGACCAACTGCCAATCAGCAAAATACTAATCAAACTTATTGAAATATTGAGTTTTCGCACAAACAAGTACTCAGTGAACTCTATAAAGAAACCCTCACTGACATGGATATTGATTCTGAAGTTTGCTACCAAGAAGAATTTCTTTTGAAAATAATATTTCAACAATGATCAAGCCACTCAATTTGAATATAGCAGACTTTTTGTTATTTGTTTTTACCATTCTGAAACCTTCTCTCCATTAGATAATTGAACACTTTTCTTTGAAGTAAAAATGAATTGAATTTTGGAATAATAATCAAATTTGAGATGACTATCATGTCAAAACTTTAACAAATCCCAATTTTATTAAAAATGATAGAAAATTGTCAGAATGGGAAGAATTCATATATTTTTATGGATATTTGTGGGCTTTAGAAATTTGGATGTAATGTAATATACAGAACATAAACTTGTAAGAAAAATTCATTGTGAAAAATAGGGCTTTTCTTTTTTAAGGATTGGATTCTTAACACTACAAAACTGACTGAGAATTCACGAGCCCCTTTCACATTACAAAAATTATTAGTTCTTATATTGAACTCTACAGCAAAAAAGTGTACATTTAAATTTACTAATGTCAATGGGCACATTTAATAGTGGTCTGCCAGACCTAGGATGAAATGCTTTATAGCAGCTTGGCGTAAAAGGGGCTTATGAAAGATTACAAGATTTTTTTTTTAAAACAGTCACTGTTAAATCAAATATTTAAATATGCACCACAAATTTATTCACAATCTGTTATTCATTTT